ATTTTGATTTGAAGTGCCCCAAGGATTTTGACGAAGACTTTCGCTTAAATATGCAAAAGTACTTGAGGTGAGCCGTTGAAAAGTTCCCAAGGCCTCCTAAATACCACGCATCACTAAGCTAGGATAGTCTTGGAGAGGGTGACTCTTGCAATTCGTGATTCGAAGAATCATTTGAAGATCGTTGTCAAGGAGTCTGTCTGTTACTCAGGAAGTGAATAATGGTCTGCAACATACCCCATATATGATTTCAATGGGTTTGTTAATGGTTTAAAAGAAACAGACTACTTTTTTTGCTCGACCCTTAAAACCTTGACCTGAAAATGTCGGTTTGGGAGGCTAGCTACTGTGACAAACTAGGAAAGCGACTGACTAGTCAAGTGCATGAAGGAGAATTCTTAAGAAAGGTCAACTGGACTGAGTTTGACATTTTTATCCGCTTATCGAGGAGCTAAAAAAGGACTTCTGGAGTATTTAACCACGACTTGAGCCTTCCTGCTTCAGTAGTACTCTCATAGGTGTGTATGAATAGAAAAGAGGCGTCTCTATGATCGGTGAGATGCAACCAATCATGGCTCTTGTGTTTAGACCTTTTGAAAAGATAATTATGCTATCTCAATACACTCTGCCCTCTAACGAAAAGCCCTTAAACCTGATGAGCGATTACTGCTAATCATAAATCTTTGCCAGGGGTATTGCATATGACATCTGTAAAGGGCTTTTTTCGGGACCGAAAGGGGGTAAACATCAACATTTCCAATCCTGTTGATTTGAAACTTAAAGAGAACATGCCCAAAGGCTCCGTCAACACCTTTCTCCTCCAGGGCTTGTTTTTCAGTCTTTTACCCTCCTTACCCCCTAATTTATTTTCCTTGAACCTTCTGTTTTCATGTTATTTTCAATAGTCTGATAACAATAAAAAAAATCATAAGATAAAAGCGTTAAAATGGCAGACTTACATGCAACGGTGTCTAATATATGTTCCCCATCATCGCCTGCTCTTGTGTTCATAGTCATGTGTGTAATTTATTATTTGAAAAAACTTTTGTACGTTTAGTACCACCAAATAACTGCCGTAAGCTGTGAACTTCTCTGAGGAGAAATCCGCCAGCCAAACATTGCTTTGTGCGGATATTCTTCCGGTTTCTTGCTTGACGATTCATGCGTCACGACAAGGCAAATATCAGCATATATCACTTGTGTTGTTTTCATGCCTCCCACCACGTTTTCAATTATCAGCCAGTATTATTAGCACGATCGTAAAATAATACCGAAGCACAACATCTGCATTAAGCTTTTAAGTTTCACCAATTCATTTTATGACGCGCCAAGTTGATGTTTTCATGACACTTTCGCGTTCGATATGTTATCTTTCATTCCTTACTTTGCAGATCGCGATTCACAAATATTTCAATTGCCTGCCTCAGATCCTAGCAACTTCTCTTTTAATTTCATCGAGATTGTTTTCACTATTTTCCGGGTGTTTTTGAGAGGAAAAGTAATTTGTCAAAACTCCAGCCGGAAACCTATCATCATTATGCTCAACCCTACACTTAATGATTACAAACATGAGTGCAAAACTGTAAGCACAGAACTGAAACGAAACGAAAGTTGTCTCCTTCACTTTCTAGTTCTACCAAAGTTTCGTCCATTCAACTTTCTAACGCGAAACCAGCTATCATCACCACTATTGGCAGTAACACATACGAAAAAGTGATCAACAACTACTTTGACATATTTTGTAAATGAGTTTTCATAATCGATTAAACCAGCTTTCGTGCTCTCGACATTGCACGGTTCACAGGACTTGCCGGGTTGTTTGCTGCGAATTAAATTTTGAACCTGTAAAAATCGAAGTTGATCAGGACGTTTTTCGCAATCGAGGCGAAAAATGTTCCTGTCCTGAACACCCTGAAAGCCTCTAAGGCGATTCTCAACGTCAAACAACTCGCTCTTTGACATAATGAACACACTGCCAGAGGGTTTGAGACCTTTCGAACAAAGACGAGCTTAAGACGAGGAGTCTGTTTTCAAGTCATGTCTTACTAGACAAAGGCAAACTAGTAATTTGAAAAAAGAAAAGCAGAATGATGGATCGCCCGAACGAGTGTTTCGCACCAATTATTAATACCAACTGAAGGATTTGATGGCGGTTATCTAAAACGATTTGTTTAAGTTAAAGTAAGGGATTAGCTGATGAAAAGACACCCATCCATTGTAGAGGTGTAATTGTGAGGGATTATAATTAGATGGCTGTCAAACCTTCTTGCAATGTTTTTCTAACCCCACTTCGCTCTACTTGGTGGCTTTTTTTTAATTTCGAGAAGACTTTTTCAGCTCTGAGTAGGCGGTTCGAATGTCCTCGCCAACCCTACTAGACTAGCAAGCACCACATTGCAGCGCTCGACCCATAATAAACAATCGCAATGAATCGAATGTTGATCTACCTACCTTTTTTCCTATCTGTCAACTTGTCATTGCTTGGACTTTTTCCATCATATAGGAACATAATCAGAAAGTAAAATAAATTTGACACCGGCAGCGAACACTTTTGAAAGCGATCGCTTCCATAGACGAGTGCAAGAACTTAGACTTTGATGTGACAAGATATTGACGGTGGCTTTCAAATTGTTCTTGTCGAAGCATAGAAAATTTAAAGCCGGGGTAATTGAATGGCTTTTGACTACATCAGATGATTTGTATTGTTGATCAACCCACGTGGACAATTAAACCACACTGTCGTCCAGTGAAAAGAGCCCATAAATCGTGAAAGAGCGACAAAGAATACATTTTATAAGGAGCTGTTTTCTCTTGAGACGAAAACAATTTCAAAAGAGAGCGTTTATGCATGGATAACGAAGAAAACAGTTCTCTAACTCTTACTTTTGTTTTTAAAAGTGTACTTAAGTAAGTACATTACTGAGTGCTTAAGAATCGCTCGTAGTCCTCTCTATGAACTGTGCCATTGTCTTCTTTTTAAAGCCTTTTTTTTATCTAAAGAAAGTGTTTTTTCTTCAGCTAGTTTTATTTCTTGATTTGTCTTAGTTATCAGGTCTTGGCGAAATATCAGACCCTCTTTTGAAACAAGAATGATGAAGGGTATTAGTGCACTCAGAATCATCGCAACGGCGTTTCAATTCCATTTGGCGATACTCTCTTTGGAGAGAAATTTTTTGATTACATGATATTTTGTCGCTGAAGTTCACTGCCACAACGGTTACTTCGTCGCCGCTTTGATATTGAAGTTCGAAGGTTGAGGTCCATTGAATATAGTCTAATTACAATATAGTCTAATTATAGAACAGGCTTCCGTGTTCCTTCAAATCCATCTCTTAAGAGAGCCTTTTTGTTTTTGACATCTATTATTTAACAACATATGAAACCGATTATCGTATGAGGAAAATCATTACGCCCTTTCTGGAAATGATTTAGTGGAGCTATCGAAGATAAAACTGTAGGTGGCCGTGAAAGAGACTCAGCGAGGGACTGTCCAACCTCGCCTCCAGGGCCCGAAAGTTTCTCATTAAATGTGGGAGGGGCACAACAGAACTCCTGTCGCACTGATTAATCTCATTTCGAAGCCTATTATTATAATTATTTTGATCGAGCCATTATGCAACTACGCCTACCTTTTCTGGGCCAAAAATAAAGTCATAACACCTGGTCTAACTGTCAAGACGTCTTTGTTTTCTTGAGTCATGGTCTCTTTCTTCCCTCTGATAAATAATCAATCGAAGCCAAGAGATCGTCAGCCAATATTCTCTTGCCCAAGGTTAGGTTATCGTACGTATCTTGGCTCTGTGGTGCATGTACCCCACCAACATTCAGGTTCGGCATTTTGCTGAATAGGAATCCAGTTGCAAGACTTCTTCTTATGGCCCCTACCGGCCATTATTTACTTACTCATCGCCTGGCGGGGGGTAAGGGGGGTTGTGTTACGATGTAATTATTTGACCCCCCCATAAAATATACTGAAATATCCTAATGATCTCCCCTTAAAGGCAGTCTATTATAAAATCCTCCAGACCCCCCCCCCCCCCCCCCGCCCTTCCAGGCGATCAGTGATAACTGGTCTCTATAGGAAATTTTGCCGAGGTAGTGGAGGGTCTTATTGTGGCAGTGTGAACATAAACACAGTGAAATGACGTCAGAAGAGCTTTTCAATTTATAGCCTACAATTTCTAGAAGTTGCTGATATTTATCAACGTCATAGATCTAAGAGAGATTGTTTTGGTTGACGGCTGTTGTTAGGAGAGGGTAAGAATACGGAAATAAAGCTAAAGCTGGAAGAACGCACTTTGTTGAAAACAATTTCCAAAACCGAATTATGTTTTAGGCCAAGACTAATTTGGAAAATAATGCCCTCGGGTATGAACGACCGGTAGCGACAAAATTCTTGATTTTTCTCTATAATTGTTCAAAATTTAATGCTGCATAACATCTTAAGTGCGACACCGTTGCCTTAAGCAATGAAAGAATCCCAAAACTGTTGCACTCAAAATGCACCATGGTGTGTGGTCAAACTACCGAACTCTGCTTGCTTTGAATGATATTTTATCGGTAATGGAAAAGAATATTTCATGGAAGAATATTTCCACCAGCATTGTACTCCTAGTCAGTACTAATAAAGATAACCTCTTGCAAGTGAATTTCAATACACTTTATTAAATATTCTACCCTGGTGGTGACTCCGTTTACGGTTGAATTATTTCAATTGCGGTTAAAACCGAAACGTGTTCACCGTTTACCAAGGGGGTTCAGATGCGTACAGCAATCTTAGTAACTAAGCAGTGCTTCACGGCCTTAGGGTAACAGTTTTCTTGGATTTTCGTTGAAAAAGTTAATCCTTTTAGCCACAGCTTCAAACATTCTCAAAAAACAAAAGGAATAAAGGTGAAAGATAGGTTACCACCTAATTACTAGTGCCTCCGTTAGCTTTTTCCCTTCCCTTAGTAACCTCCCCACCCTCCTCCCCCTGCTATGATTCTGACATTTCCCACACGCCGTTTCGAACTACGGTTTCGTTCGAATGTGGATGATGACAGTTCTAACGTTTGAGGTTTGTTTTTCTATCTTACTTATTCAACATTTTAGTTTTAATTACTGGGAATTGTTTTATGATGTAGGTTTTCTGAAGAGTTAGTTATCACCGTGCCTTTTGGTACATAAGGATTTTCAAAAATAAACTTCGATGAACAGTTGCAAATTAAGGTTGTCAAAACCAAGTTACCTATTGTCTAACAGGTTTCCTTACATGTGTATATATCATACCCTTAACTTGCCACGAACATTTATGTTTGATCACACGTTTGAATCATGGGTTGTATCCTGTATTGGGTTGAACACTTGGTTATCACAGTACCTTTCTTAACCTACTGAAATTTGTGAGTACTTCGATTTTTGTAATTGTAGAGAGGATTTTTTTAGACAAATTCTAGTTTTCTCCTACTTAATAACGTAAACATTTCAGGTGACCCATGGTATTTAACACTTTAACTCCCAAGATCTGATTGCTAATTCTCCCCTTTAGCTGCTACACATTTTCTTGTAAATTTAGTCATGAGAATTTGGTGTTTGATCAAGATAACTTCTACCAAATATGTTTGAGTATTCTCCTTACCTGTTTGGTGGGTAATCTGATGTATGGATATTGTTGGGAGAAGCTACTTGGTTCATGTTAATCACTTCTTGGAGTTAAAGGGTCAGCCCTTTGACCTCCTAAGAGTGATTAGGATCTAATTTCTCATGGTTACAATATCATCCCTGTATGACACTTGAAGGTCATGAGAATAAAGGAAACGATCACCAACTAAATTTCTCAACAGCTAGCAATTGCCATCCAGTTTAAGTACTCTTCAAACATGTCATTGTGAGGAAAAGCTCCTAGAGAAACTCTGTTGGCAAACTATCAGCTGACAGATGACCAACAGGCCACCAACAGGTTACCAATTGGCATTATACCCAAGAATGAAATACTCTTTCACCAATAAATTTTTATCAACAAAAGGCTATGACATTTAGTGTTGGCATTTTTTCATTTTCATTTTTATCCATGTATTTAACAGCTTATCGAGACTGAACACAAAATATAACTCAGAAAGTCAAAATTTTAGCAAGACTGGTTGTAAGGTGGGCTAAATTCACCTTTTTAGCTGCAGTTAAGATAATGGCTGCAAATAAGATACATGTAGGTTTGGTAGAGTGTTTTATTTTTTGACACAACAAGATTTTTATCTACATCAAGGAAATCACTTGGACAAAAGTTGAGGATTGTACTGTTGACTTATATTTACAGTGCACTTGTTCCAAAGCCAGTTTATTGAAAGTTTTGGTGTGTGGTCCAGTCACCAAATAAGGGGAAAATGTCTTTTTTCAATGATAGCATTTTTTTTCAACTTGATTTCAAGTTGGTAGTGTATCAGTTACCTTACTTCAATAATTTCAAGGAATTTTTAACCTGTTGAGAAACCAATATTCAGCTGAATTTAAATGAAGCAACAATTAGCAGAAATGGGCGAAATCTTGATTGCTTGATTGTGAAGACTCAATCAATGACAATGAAAAAGTATTTAAACAACTTAGCAATTATCAGCTCAATTTTTATTGCATAGCACATCTGGTTTAAGGAATGCTGAATTGGTCAATTTTCTTGACTGATTTCACAGCAAACTGAAAGCCAAACCAAACTAATTCCTGATTTATTTTTGTTCTCCTTTAAAAATTTCTTGATTTACCACAGACATGCTTGATTGTGAAGACTCAATCAGTGATAACCAACGTAGCAGACTGATTTAGGAGTAAACTGAAAGCAAAACCAAACTTATTCCTGATTAATTTTTGTTCTCCTTTAAAAATTTCTTCATTTACCACAGACATGCTTTCAAAAGAGAAAAAGGTCTGTTGTGTTGGGAGTCAGGTGGTTATGCAATTTTTGGTTACATGGATGTAAACTGTGCTTTAATGATTATAATCAAATTATCTTTGCTTCTTGCCAGGTACATTAACAGTCAGCCAGTTATGAACAGAGATTCTATAAACTAGATACCAGTCACCATTCAAGAATCAGCCATGGACATCCATTTTTGGTAGGCAAAAAGTTTTTTTCAGAAATCTTAACATCCTAGACCCAAATTAGATGTGCTGTAACAAGTTTACACATTCTCTTCAGGATCGAAGGAAAAGTTTTGCAGAGTTTTATAACATTATTTTTCTTACATAACCAGTTAAGAGTCTTTCCATAAGAGGACCAGGCAGGTTTGACATGTCATCTCGCCAACAACTTACAGAATGTTAGGTTCAAAAAGTTATTCAAGATTCATCATTCTACAGCAATGAGTAGAGTTCTTTTTGGTCATCTCTTTCCTTTAAGCATGCATGTTTCACCACAGGTGATCATTTTACTCATTTTACTGTTGTGAGTCTGGAAAGTAAGTAAAGATTAAAGGGAACATTTCCTCATGTCATCACATAAATTAGAGAAAACAACTGTCTTGATTGCTTTAGAATGATTGATGGTTTATTGTAAAAGCAAACTTTGTGAATTTCATTTCCAAATTCAAGTGTCCAAATGTGTAACAAGAAAAAGGGTCACCCAATGTACATGTGTATATATACCCTATAGCTTCTGTTTTCCCTGTGGTGTGATAATTATTTGGCTAGTTTCTAACTTTGAACATAACTTTTATGAGTACATTGGGAACCAGTGGGCTAAGATGGAGCATTGGAGGAATTGAACTAAAATGATAAAGCTTTAAACATAACAACATAATATGAAATTTATATTCTCAAATAGACAAAAGGACCCTTTGCTAGCACACAAAATGTAAGGGAAGGGGGATTGCATCATGTTGTGGCATACAAAGTTGCTAAAGTTGCATAATTTTCTTTGTTTTACGGAAAAATTTCAACAAAAGGGTCAGTTAGGGAAAGTAAAATGAATTACAAAATTTTTCAATTGTAAGTGGATTCTATATTTAATAGTTTTAATAATCCCTAATTTTCAACCTGAATAAAAAAATTTGCATAACATGGTTAATCATTAACCTCTCTAAATTGCTTGAAATAGTATCAAATTACCCCAACTTTAAATGGGTACTAGTTGCTAAGGGTTAAATAAATAGCAATTTGAAATAACTCTTTTTGAAAGTTTGAAAGAAATCGTCAAGATGGCATGTTTCATGCCTGCAAGGTCCTCTGGTGGACTGACTCTTAAATGCATTTTATGCTCGTAATTTAAATTTTCCATGAGCTCATTGATGGAACATTGGAGCAGGGCCTTTTTTTTCCTTAAAAGATGTTGAATTGTTATCATGAGCAATTGTACAGAAAGAAAAGTTAAAACCTCTGAGTCTCTTGTGTGCAACTCAGAATTTTTCTTTGGCTCTTGCCAGTGGTTAAATGTTATTCAAAATCTATCTTACTCTACCTCTTGCTACTTTTAATAAAAAATTTATTACACTTCAACTTAATACCCCCCTTCCCCATTTCATGTGGTAGGATCAGGCTGAATGTAGCTCAGTATTGATCAGGAAGAGAGACGGTCAAAGTAAATGAATTGGGGGGCAAATATTGTTATCTCAGTCAGGAGGCTAATTTCTAAAGCTTAAAATATTACACCTCAAATTAATGCCCTCCTTTGCCATTTCATGTGGTATGATCAGACGGAATGTAGTGT